AAAAAAAAAAAAAACCATAGGAAGTGAAATTCTCCTTTGATGAAAAAAAGAAATCTTGCTGCTGGAATGATGAAGAGTTATCTTGGGATTCTCTGCCCCTTTCCCTTCTTTCTAGAGCAGTTCCACCAGGGAGGGGGGTCCTTTACTAAAAGTGTTTCTGTCTGAAAGCCCCTCCCCAAGAATCACTGGATTCAGTAGGGCCTGTTTTAAATTGGTCACCCTGTCCTTTACCAAACTCCGTCGGTTCACAGTGAACAGACTGAGTGAGAGGGGTCCAAGTGCCCTGGAAACTGGCACCAAGGACTGACAAGTGCCATGAAGAAGGCGGACCACCCAACGGGTGGGTGAGACCTAGATGTCAGCTCAGTTTAGAGGAACATGAGTACTCTAGCTTTGCTGTCAGCTCCTGTTTCCCTGTCACCAGGCCCTGAGCCTTCTCCCTCCTGTAGGCCCACTCTGTGTGCTTCAAACAGTGTGGTGCAATGCTGTGGAAGCCTGGGATGACGACGTGGAGGAAACTGAGTATTAAGTACCTCGTCTTACACTAACAACTGGCAGAGAAAAATATGCTACTATATACCTCTATATTCCATTCCGTGGGCTCAAAATCCTTTCCCTGACACATGCATATTTATTTTGCACAAGACAAAAACTTAGGGGCTTCTGACACCTATAATCCCAGCACTTTGGGAGGCCAAGGAGGGTGGATCACTTGAGCCAAGGAATCTGAGATGAGCCTGGGCAACATGGCAAAACCCCGTCTCTACAAAATATACAAAAATTAGTTGGGCACGGTGGCAAGTGCCTGTGGTCACAGCTACTTGGGAGGCTAAGGTGAGAGGATCACTTGAGCCTGGAGCTCAAGGCTGCAGTGAGCCATGATTGTGCCACTGCACTCCAGCCCAGGTGACAAAGCAAAACCTGGTTTCAAAAAAAAAACCTTATCTGAGGTCTTGTTAGAATCTGAGTCACTATTTCTGTATGTTAGGCAATGCTGCTAAAAATCCTTTGGGGAGGGAGGGGTAGGTCACAAAATCTTTTAAAATAAAATTATAAGCATTTCACTTTTTTATGGGTAGCCCAGCAACTGATTTTTGAGACAAAGCTACTTTACAATACAGATTTAAATTGAAAGCTATGGAAATATTCCATTTTCCTGTTCTGTATACCTTGACTATTATACTTCTACAAATATTATTCAGATATTTAGAAATACAGATTGTAGTACCAACAACTTACATTTGTCTTGTGACAGGTGTCAACCTAAAAGGTATTATGGGTACTTACCAAGGTCATCTTCAACTTGTCTGTGACTGCTAAGTTGTATTTATGAACTTTCTCTTTGATCTCCTCTTTGCTGAGGTAACTGTGGGTTTCCTTCTCTTTTTCAACATCCTGGAAGAAAAACAAACCATGCCACATGTGAGCAACCACAGAAAAAAATGTGGACAGGTCGGGCGAGGTGTCTCATGCCTGTAATCCCAGCACTTTGGGAGGCTGAGGCAGGCCGATCACCTGAGACTGAAAGTTCGAGACCAGCCTGACCAACATGGAAAAACCCCGTCTCTACTAAAAATACAAAATTAGCCAGGCAGGTGACGCATGCCTGTAATCCCAGCTACTCGGGAGGCTGAGGCAGGAGAATAGCTTGAACCCGGGAGGCGGAGGTTGCGGCGAGCTGAGATCACGCCATTGCACTCCAGCCTGGGCAACAAGAGTGAAACTCCATCTCAAAAAAAGCAGGGGCGGGGGGGATAAGTCAGGATTCTTTTTAAATTTCACACGAGGGCCAGGCATGATGGCACATGCCTGCAATCCCAGCACTTTGAGAGGCCAAGCAGGGCAAAGCTTTAGCCCTGGATACTGAGACCAGACTAGGCAACATGTTGAAACTCTACCTCTACAAAAAATACAAAAATTAGCTGGGCATGGTGGTGTGCACCTGTAGTCCCAGCTACTCGGGAGCCTGAGGTGGGAGGATCACCTCAGCCCAGAGGTCGAGGCTGTAGTGAGGCATAATTGTGCTGTGCTGTAGTCTGGGTGACATAGTACAAACTTGTCTCCAAAAAATAAATAAATAAAAATATATTAACATCCCACACAAGAACGACCTTGTCGTTCTTGCATGTTACCTTGAAACACACACATATTCTCCCTCTCTCCCTCACTGCTTCCCTTTCTCTCTTTCAAACTTTCCAGGCTCATCCACCAATTACGGTTCTCATTCTTTCAGACTACAGTCTCCCTAGGGGATATATTTAAAAAAAAAAAAAAAAAAAAAAAACTAATTTGTCAGCACCTAGAAGTAACACTTCATTACCAATATTATTCTGCAAAACTGTCATTACTAAATTTCTCTTCTGCAAAAACATCATTTCCTCAGCATGCCTGCTAGAGTGGCCATTTCTATTTTAAACAACATTTAAAGACATATACCACAAGTTTCTCTGTAGCAAACTGTATTAACTCTGTTGTCTTTATAGCTTTACAATATTTATTGGCAGAAAGTACAGCAGTTAATATTAACTGGCACTACCCATGGACTCACACTAATCCCTGATCTGTCAAACTGTACACAACTACCAGAGGGTAATTCATCTTCCAAACAAATCCCCAGGCCGAGATACAAGTAGTCAGACTTCTCCTTCCCGCCCCCTCTACCTCCCCACCCTTCCAGTCTCATGCACCTCTCTACCTCCCCATACTCTAGAGGGAGAAATATGGCTTAAATCCTCTTCTCACTGTGAAGAATTTATCAATAAGTATCTGTCTAAAGAGTCCCACCAGCTTATGACATTATACAGCAGATGTGATCACAAATGACCAAATTACAGCGTTCTGTCATCCTGATGGAGTACCTAACTTGTATCACCTTTACTTCTCCCAACAACCTAATCAAGGAAGCATTATTACGCCAGTTTCAGTAAATTAAACTGCTGGGAAAAAAAATGTAACTGTTCAGTGAAAGCAAATGAAAGCCTGCTAACCCTAACTCCAACCAAGCTCTAAGTACTTCCACAGGGGTGTTCTCATTTAATCCTCCCAACAATGAGCTCATTCATGCTAATTAGCACCCCCATGTTGCACAAAAGGACAGAAGATTTACAAAGGTCAAGCAGTTTGTCCAAGGACAACCCAACTAGTTGAGAGACCAAGTTCCACTTTAATCTAAGTGCTCTAGGGTGCTCCCACTCAATCCAATCCACGGGTCTGACGTGAGCAAACATTTAAACACTTACAGAAAGACTGCATAATCAGATTTGAAACAGAGGAAAAACAGTTAAAATCTAACGATTTAGGCCTGCAAAATAAAGCCTTTGTAAGCATGCCTCTTTCTGCCAGACACATCACACCATTCTCACAGCTGGATATTCTCCAGGCAGGCACTGGTTCCCACCTGCCCACTGGAAGCCAGTGTCATAAATACACCAGAGGGGCTACTACAGAACTTGCATCAGTACCACACAGAGAACGAAATGGCTCTGGATCCATTCAAGCCTCAAGATCTCTGACTTTAGATCTTAAGAGGGGTGTGCTGACTACAAATTATCACAGTAACTTTTAAATGTCAGCACCATCCTGGTGAAGTCTAACGGGTCAGTCTATTGGGAAATACTGGATAAATACCAGCACAAGATAATGTGTTTATTTCCTAGCATCAGGGGTAGGCTTCAAAGTCCCTTGGGAGCATCCTATTAGCCCATGTAAAACCTCAAAGTAATCTTATTTTTGGTATTACTGTTTGGTGGGGGGAAAGCTGTGGATTAAAATAAGCTTTCAAAAGCTCCAGTGACTACTTCCAAGAAAGTGTTTTGTTTTGAGACAGTGTCTCACTTTAGCACCCAGACGAGTATGCAAGGGTGTGATCACAGCTTACTGCAGCCTCGACCTCCTGGGTTCAAGCGATCCTCCCACCTCAGTCTCCTGAACAGCTGGGATTACAGGAACGCACCACTGCGCCCAGCTAATTTTTTGTAGAGATTAGAGATGAGGTCTGGCTATGTTGCCCGGCTGCTCCTGGGCTCAAGCAATCATCTCGCCCTAGCCTCCTAACGTGTTGGGATTACAGGTATGAGCCACTGCACCAAGCCCCAAAGAAGTTTTAAACATGTCTCACATCTCTGCTTGTCTTGCTCTTACCAATCCACAATTAACTGGGTACCAGTCATAGCTGAAGAAGAAAATGAGGTAGTCTTGGCTTGTACATTCAGTTTTAACTGTCCAGAGCCTCTTCAAAGCATATATTAAAAAGTGTACAATAAGGACCTACAATCTCATGGACGTGGGATAGGTGGTTGGCAGGGCAAAGGAGTGTTGCAGAAAGCGCACCACATCTGCAAGACTCGGGCTCCAGTCCTCAGGCTGTCACCAACTAATGCTATACCTTTCTGAGCCTGTTCCCTCATTTTCTACAAAATAAGGAACTAGAGTTCATCACCTCCTCTAAGGTGCTTCCTCTCCTAGGCTGATCTGATTGCAAAGATGTGGCGGTGCTTTCACAGGTGTCACCAGGCCTAGGATAATCTGATTAAAAAGATCTGGTGCTGCTTTCACAGGTGTGACCAAGGAGGCCAAAGGGTTCCATGTGAGGAATCACCAAAGGCTCACCATTAAAAACACAGAAAGGCCAGCACAGTGGTGCATGCCTGTAATCCCAGCACTCTGGGAGACTAAGGCGGTTGGATCACGAGGTCAGGAAATCGAGACCATCCTGTTTAACATGGTGAAACCCCGTTTCTACTAAAACTACAAAAAAGTAGCCAGGTGTGGTGGCACGCACCTGTAGTCCCAGCTGCGCAGGAGGCTTAGGCAGGAGAATTGCTTGAACCAGGGAGGTGGAGGCTGTGGCGACCTGAGATTGTACCACTACACTCCAGCCTGGGTGCCAGAGCGATACTCCATCTCAAAAAAAAAAAAAAAAAAAAAAAAAAAAAAAAAAAAAAAACCACAGGAAATGGCTAAGCACATATACAGCAGCCTAGATGCATCCCAGGGGCTTGTGACTTACATAAGAACTCTAACAATGAGAAGAAAAGGGGGTAAAGGGCATGAAAGAACAGAGTTAAGTAAAGCTGGTCAACCCTAAATTACAGGTTCTGGTGATGCTATGGGACTTAACAGCCAGCCTTGGGTCCCTTGGCACAGGTAGACCCAGAAGCTTGAGGAAAATCCAAAGAGTAAGCCAGTCTGGAAAGAGAAAATTTCCCTGGATCATCCACATAGAGATAACTGAGACATGCTTATATAACAATTATCTTTCCTTCTCAGAGATTAAAAAATAAGGAAAGTGACTGGGCATGGTGGCTCACACTTGTAATCCCAGCACTTTGGGAGGTCAATGCGGGTAGATGACCTGAGGCCAGGAGTTGGAGACCAGCCTCCCCAACATGGTGAAACCCTGTCTCTACTAAAAATACAAAAATCAGCAAGGCGTGGTGGCAGGTGCCTGTAGTCCAAGCTACTTGGGAGGCTGGGGTAGGAGAATCACTTGAACCAGGATGGTGGAGGTTGCAGTGAGCTGAGATCATGTCACTGCACTCCACCCTGGGTGACAGAGACTCCATCTCAAAAAAAAAAAAAAAAAAAAAAAAATAGAGCAACTGGAAAGTATATCCCAGAAAAGCAGGTAAAACCCAAAGGGCTCTGATTCTGCACTTTTTAAGTGAAAAATGTAGCAATCACACACGAAGGCCTCATCCTTCAGCAAACACTTGCTGAGCTCCCACCATGCGCCAGACACCTGCCTAAGTGCGCGGCAGTCAGACTCAGCAGTAGCCACCACACCATCCTCATGGGGCTTGGTGTCTGCCCAGGTGGAGTGGGGAAGATCAAAGGACAATCTGCTCTGAAGTGGCCACCAAGTACTGTTTCTCCGGGTCTGGCAACAAAGAAGTCATACACGCAGGCCATGGAACAGAGGACACTGGTTTCATTTTGCATCAGAGAAAGACCCTTAACTCCAAAAACTTCCCAATTGTTTGCCCCTTTAAAAAAGACCCTCCTGGGCCAGGCATGGTGGCTCATGCCTATAATCCCAGCACTTTGGGAGGCCGAGGCAGGTGGATCACAAGGTCAGGAGTTCAAGACCAGACTGGCGAACATGGTGAAACCCCGTCTCTACTAAAAAATACAAAAATTAGCTGGGCATGGGGGCTCATGCCTGTAATCCCAGCTACTTGGGAAGCTGAGATAGGAGAATTGCTTGAACCAGGACCAGGAAGGTGGAGGTTGCAGTGAGCCGAGATAGTGTCACTGCACTCCAGCCTGGGCTACAGAGTGAGACTCCATCTGAAAAAAAAAAAAGGACCCTCCTGTCTCCTCACGGAGGGGAATCCTCCCCCTTCCTCCACTACACTGATTATTAATCAGAACCACAATCTCTAGGAATGCAGCTG